CTCCTATAATATACAACAGATGTATCGCCTCAGAAACTCCCATTTGTCCCAGATGTGGGCGAACCAGTTTGTAGACGTGCTGTAAAAACCCTGGCACATGCCTCCTGATGCAACGCCACAGGTCAGCAGCAAACAACAGCTGATGTAAACTCATATGGTTGGCTCGCCTACTCAGCTCAGACTCGAACACCTCCAGCACACTGTGAGAGAAGGGAATCTGCAGCCACACGAAGGACTGCAGCAGCTCCAGCAGCTGAGTCAGTGAAAAGTGGTGAATGTGTTCTCCAGAATATAGAAGGAGCCTGACAAAACGCTGGTCACTCCTCAGCAACACATGCTTCTCTCGTTGCAGCTTGCTGAGCTTGACCAAAAGCTGGGACACTTCAGATGGGTTCATCTTGCCCTTTAAGATGGAGAGATTTTCGAGTAGCGGCAGCACCTCCACCCATTCGATGCAGGGAGGTCGCTGGGTGAGGTCAAGGGTCATGGAGGCGTACCCGGGCCGGCATTTAAGGAAGGCACGTGTGTCCACTTTAACATCTGGTGATGCTTGCTTTCTGTGGGGTAACGCAGGGGAGACCTCCAATTCAGGGACTTTGTTAAAAGCCAAGTCAAGAAGTGTGTTTTTTGAGCTCGAGAGATGCCGCAAGCTGCTCACACTGTAGTGATTCCCCTGTTGCCACAAAGAAGGCCCATGAGCTGTGAGACATTGCTCCTCTTCCTCACAATCCGTCTTCTGGCGACAATTTGCAGAATTCCATGCAGCATGATGGTAAGACGACGGCTTGTAATGCAATCTGTATTCTCTTTGGGGTGCATTTTTCTGGTGTTGAAACGCTTTATTTTCCTCTTGATCATTTATGTCATCCTCTGGTTTGATGTGCGTGTGTTTAGATTGGAATAGACTTCTTCCCCAGTTTGTGAGGGAGCGAAACCTGGCAACCCGCCGACACAACACACAGGCTGCCATCAGTGTGCAGCAAGACTGAAAAGAGAGAATACAGTTAGATTGTGTTAGATTGTAACAGCAAATATCTTCTTATATGAGCATTTAATTTTGGTCTAGAATATTTAACA